CCATTTTCACAGTTTTCTCCACTTCATCGCGTTTCGGACATGTTGGTGCGATGTGCCCATGTTGTCCACATCGGAAACACTTCAAACCACGAAACCTCAACGGACAATCCGCGCTGATATGACCTGCTTCGTTACAATTGTAGCATTTCCTTACTTCCTTCCTGAATACTCCTCTGTCTATTCGTTGGCCATCTCCACCGCCTACACCACCTGCTACTGTCGCACTTCTGTGTTGTCTCGCACGTGTACTGCCTGCGTAATCCACCGAAGAAAGCATCAATTGTTCAAAAGCTTGTAACAATTTTTCCGGAGTATTGAAATGATGCATTTTTGCTTGTACCCTTAGCGATTGGTCAGGTATACCCTCGACAATATATTCAACTAATTCGGTCTCGTCATCAATGGGTACACGATTCGCTTTTATAACTTTATCATGGAAATAATCTTCAAAAGACTCATTCTTCTTCCACACACGATCTTCAAATTGTTTGCGCAGAAGAATCTTGCTCGGCCGATGATGAAACATATTCTCGAATTTCATTAATAAATCATCTACATTCAATTCGATAAATTCGGACCGCGACTGCATCCAGTCTCGTGCCTTTCCTCGTAATCGCATTCCTATTAAAACTTTCATCTCATCTTCTTCTAAATGGTACGTAGTTTGGAGAACTTTTACTTGTTTCGACCAACTCGGATAATTCTCTGATTTACCATCAAAATAACTAAGTAATTCGGCAACAGTTTTTACACTCATTCTTCCACGTATATTTCCTGTCGTCGAATATGTTTGGAAAGAACGTCGTGTTTCTCGTTCTGACGCAAGTTCACGTCGCATCATCTCTAATTCTCGCTCCATCAACGCTCTTTCTCGTCGAAAAAGATTCAACTGGCGTAGTTCACGTCGATCCTCATCACTCGCAATATTGAATGGAGTCAATATCTTCTTCATCTGCAACTTCTCGTCTGTCAACGAATTCGTCAACCCTGTTTTCTTGTAATGTACGAGCCCAATTACACGTGGGATCATACTCTAACAAACGTGCTATTAATTCAGCTTTCAGGCCGGTTGTCACTAAATTATGTTCTCTTAATATCTCCTTCAATTCTAGTACCGTAAATACGTGTGTTCATATCTAGATTAGCCATCATCACTTCACAAATCACGTTACGTATCGTCACACAAATATTTATGTATTCGTAATTGTCTCACTCGTCTTTTACACACACTGATAATCCGATAATCCGGTCTCTGATTCTTGATGCTCTCGATCCCGGCTGAGCCCCAAAATTTGTAGGATCAGAGATAGTAGAATTATGCAGAAACAGGATAATTAATTTATTAAACACTTTAACTTTATAATTCACAAATACAATATGAAACACTATAATTAAATATATTATTATAATTCGTCAAAGTTATACCGTCCGTGTTTTCTATACCGTCCCTCTCTATTGCTAGAAAAACACTACTCAAAATATGATCGGCATTTACATAATCCATTCTATTCTCTCTCGCACTCACAACCAAATTATTCTCTCTCAGTCTCTCTCACAGATGCAACAAACTACCTCTTGTTATAAACAACTCAACTCTTCACGGCGGCAATGAACACAAAACGATACGACGTTCACAGTGAATACAAAATAATCAATATCACATATACATATAGAAAATTACCACATTATCTAGCTCGCACTCGTCGCGATACCGCTGCACGTACCTGGGCCCATAACCTGATAGTGATATCGGGTAGGAAGATACAAACAACGCGGTATGAACAACACAGTTCTATTACTAAAGAAGCGCGAGTCGTGCGCGTACTACAGAACGGAATGTAAGAACGGGAATGCCCGAAAGAGACCACGCGATGGCGCCACCACCGTCAGGTCCGACGTCTCGGTGCGGATCGCACCATCTGGATGCGACTTCTCCAACATTTACTGATAATGAATGTCTCTTTAAAAAGCCCGAAGAAATATTTACGTACAGAAACTAGCAGAAGTCTGACCGGAAATGAGTTATAGTTTGCGTTAAGTAGAAACAAAAATAATCTGCAATAAATTGTGAACTCACTCTTTCGGAAATTCACCTGCAGTTTGCAAACCTGTGTTACTAGGTTACTGGACCGATCCTGGTCATCGACTGCCGAAACGGTTTATAGCAGGGTATCGCCCAGCGAACCAGCCGAAGTTATGGATTATAACTTCAAGTGCGTCCGGGTTATTCCACCGAATACGTATTCACTTCACTGCACGACCAATAACACTGATCACCCGACACGATCACTTAATGTATGTTTAATCGAACGTGTTGTTCCTACGTTAGGAAAATTGGTGACCCCGAAACGGGCCGATTGTTATCAATTTATCAGATGTTTCACATAGCCAAACGCATACACAGCAGGAGGTGCATTTCCGTTAGTTCCAAACCCTTCCAAAATTCTTTGTCCTTATTTTTCAACCCCGCCTCATTCCAGAATGTGATTTTACACAAACTTTTCCTTTCCACGTCTTCCCTCCTCCTTACCCTCTCTGCCCTCCATCTTTCCATTTCACTCGTTTCCCTGCTCCTCAAACCATCTTTCTCCTATTTCGTCCCATCTTTTCATCTTCCCATTTATCCATATCTTCATGTATTCTGCCTGTACCATTTTTCCTTTTTCTCTTTCCCCCTCCAACTCTCTTTCTAACTCCATCTCACCTTCCTTTCCTCCTCCGTGAGATCGTCTATTCTTTCTTTCTTGACTTCCAGTTTTATCTTTGTCTCCATCACTTTTCTTTTTTCCTCCTTCCCTGTCATTGTCACTAGTACCATTCCCCCCCTCCGCTCCTCCTACCCTTCCTATTTTGGTTACTTCCTATATCCCCTCCTCCTCCAGCCCCATTCTTTCCCATAGCATCTTCACTTCCTCATTCACTTCTTTTCCCTCTGTCTTTATCCCCCTTGTCACTCCATTATTTCTTCTCTCTTTCCTGTCTTGTTTTACCTCTATCTTTCTTATTCTTCTCCCATATTCATCTGCTTCTCTTTCTCCCACCATTTTCTTACTACTCCTGCTTTCCTTTTCTCTTTCCCATCTCCCTACCTTCTCTGACACCTCCTCCAATTTCCCTTCCTTCTCTTCCGTCTTCTCCACTCTTTTCTTTATTCTTTCTCTCCTCATCTCCTCTTCCCATCTTGTCCTCTCTTCGCCATCCCTCATCTACCCTTCTTCCCTCTTCCCATTCCTTTCTCATGCCTTCCTTCACTTCCTTTAACTGTTTCATCATTTCCCTTACCAAACGTTTCGTGCTTCCCTCCTCTTCCTGTTCACCCTCTCCCGTCTTCCCGTTTTTCTTTCCCTCTGGCAATCTCCCCGTCTTTGTGCATTTCTTAAATATTTCCTTTTCATCCCCACCCTCCTCCCTTCTTCTTCGTCTCGCTCCTTTCTTTTTTCCCCCACATACTATCTAAACTCCCCATACTACTCCCTACACTACTTGTGCTATCCCTTCTATATCTTTCCTCTTTATGTATGTTAAGATTAGGAGGTTTAGGAAAGTAATCGCAATAATCCCAATTGCACTCTGACGAGAACACAACTCTTTAATAACTGAATTAATACGCATTTACATTTACTTTATAATATCAAAACGACTTTGTAAGACGCTCACTTTGTTAATACTGCTACTTACTTCTACTGCTAACTAACTATACCAGCCACTCTATATATCATTCTTTAACAGTGACGACGACGCGCCTTCTCTCATACTCAGTTCACAGCCACGTTCACATATTACACGCCTCAACAGTGAATCACCATCTATATATGCATATATATATATATATGACTTTGTTCAACAATGTAACATCCCTTTTTGTTTTTCTTCCCCCTTCGCTCCGTCACGCCCACTACTCTTTTCTCTGTCCTACACTTTCTATTCTTTTTTATTCTATTTCCCGGTGCAAAAGATCCCGCCTTATCACTAGCTCTTGGAACTCGCTCTTTCTCCCACAGCTCTCGCCACTTGGGTCTCCGCTGTGGGGGACGCCGTATTATCACGCGCGAATTACTAGGCGTCCGACACCACAAGATTCACGACACGATCGGTAAGGGGAAGAGGGGGAACAACAGATCGATGCAATATGTACGAGTAACAGTATAATGAAAGTTTATTACGAATACTAGTTGTTTGTCGAAATGTAACAGTACAACCAGAAGTCGCCTGAGTGTCGTCTCAATGACTAACGCATAACACGCGCAACACGTGGCAACATAACCTTGAAACGAGACACACGGGTTCGGATGATAACTCTTATGCAGGCGATACCATTCCACGACACGAGGGCAACCTCGAGATTAGTGATGGGATTTGGAACGCTTCGAATCGCTTCGAATCTGATTCGAAGCTACAAAAGTCTTGAAAGTCTTGAAAGTCTTGAACGGATTCGAAGTTCCGAGGCGATTCGAAGTCTCGAGCGGCCTCGAAGTCTTCACCAGATTCGAAGTCTTGAACGGATTCGAAGTCTTGAGCGGATTCGAGTCTTGAACGGTCTTGGAAATCTTGAGCGTTTTGTAATTTGTAAGTCTTGGAAGTGTTGAGATGTTTTTATAGGTTATATTATTATTCAATATCTTCCAGGTTACAGGTTACAGGTACAGGATTTTTGATTATTTTTGTTCAAGCAGTATCATTGATGTAAGGTATTAAACAATAGTTGTAAATTTCGAATTATCATAAATACATTTATTGTTCTAATTATTTATTTATTTTTTTTTTTGTGGGAATTGAGGAATGTGAAAAAGGAAATGTAAAAAAAGTGAAAACATTTCCCAATGAATAAGACACAATTTGTGAAGAAATAAGGTTATTGCTTATATATATTATTTATTGAATAACAAAATCGTATTTAAACTTAACATAACGTGGGATATAGTTGAAGAGAAATTTCCGTCACTGGACGAGCGACACGGCATGCGCACATACACACACGCGCGCGCATGCGCATTCCTTACCTAAGCAAGACTTTTTCCGAGGGTGGCCTCGTAGCCTGACTCAAAACCAAATTTATGATACTACAATAGTATTTTGTATAATGTAATATAATATACAGTATGGCCGATTTAAGTGTATACGCACTATTATTTCTTCAGCTATTGAAAATACCAAAAAATGTTTCATATAAAAGTTGTTTGATTTCTTGCAGCAAACATAATAAAGTATTTGATATGAAAGATTTTTTGTGTAGTCAATAGTTAGCGTGTATACATTTAAATCGAACATGCTCTAGACTCTAGTATACAATATAACATAACAATTATATTTAATGTCAAGTAAATAATAATGGATTTATTTCTTATTCAGTAATAAAATTTTATCCAAAGTCGTATGCTTTAGTCTATTTCTTTTACAACTTATTATATTCCCTGCTTTTGAAAAAATTCTTCCGCAAGGCACGGATGTGGCAGGGCAGGATAAAATTACTTTTGCAAGTTTGGCAAGGTTCGGATATTTTGTTATATTATTCTTCCAGTACTGCAATGGATCTGACAATCTATTAATATAACTGTCTGATAAATAATTTTCTAATTCATTTGTCGGCCCAAAACGATATGCACTTATCGAATTTTGTTCTGTCACTTCGTTATCGAAGGACGTCCACAGTGACAATGTGCTAGGGACAGGTGTACTGTTATTTGTTTGTACTATTTCAGAAACTGACATATTTAAAATGTGATTTACTATTAATTCCTTTCCCTTCTCAGCGTTTTCGCTGAACAAAAAACCTAGTACTTTAAAGCGGGGATCTAGAATTGTTGCCATTGCATACAGTGAATTAGTTTCTATTGTATTAAAATATTTACCCATCGTTTCTTTCAATTGCACTGATAAACTATTGTCGCTATGTAATTCGAGGCATGTATGTAATTGTTTAACAGCTATATTAATTTTAGAAATTGAGACGTTGGTTTCACTACTTAATTCCATGGTTAATAAATAAAACGGTTGCAATATTGGTAAACTTTCAATTAAGATTTCCCACTCAATTGTGGTTAGGGAGTCAAACGGAATATGAAAAAATAATAATGCCGATGTAATGGCTTGTTTTTGTTCTATCAGTCGGTTAAACATTTCGTACGTTGAATTCCAACGTGTCTCAATTTCTAAGATTAATTTATGTTTTGGTGCATTTAGTGCATTTTGCATTTCACTTAATTTATCTTTTGCCAAGCAACTAGCTTTGAAATAAGTTACTATACGCCGACATTTCTGACGTATAGCTACTAAATCTGGAACGGCTGCCAATGATTTTTTTACGACCAAATTTAATGTATGTGCAAAACATGAAACACTGCAAACCGACTCGTCCAAATTCCTAACGGCTGCGAGCATATTTGCAGCGTTGTCCGTTACTACATGTTTCACCTTTCCGTGTATATTCCATTGATAAAATATATTTTTCAAGGTTTGGGATAAGGCGTGACCTGTGTGGCTTCCGGTTATCTTCTCAGTTTGTAATGTATATGTTTTCAATTGGAAGTCGTGATTAATGAAATGGCATGTCACAGATATAATATTATCCACGTTGATACTAGTCCAGGTATCGCAAGTTATGGAGACGTCGGATACGGCATCAAGTTCTTCTTGAATCATACGTCGTTTCTCATTATAAGCATCTTCCACTATTTTTTTTAACGTTTTTCTACATGGTATTGTGTACCTGGGATCTAAGTAATTTATTAACGTACGAAAACCTTTATCCTCAATAATTTTAAAAGGTTGTAAATCTATTACAATTAAATCTACCAACATTTTGTCAATTTTTGATTTCCATTCATTTTTATCTGAAAACAAATGAAGTTTACTATTACAGCTGAAGATAGAAATACAGTAGAGTCATTAATTTCGGCATCATGCCACATCAATCACTTTTTGCACTCGATATCAGGGATTTCGTTCAAAATGAAATATGTTGTAGTCCACGTGAAATTAGACGGGGTTTAAGTCATAAATTTTGGTTCTCGATTTTTTTTCAAAAATACGCCGAAGTTTAGGATTTTTGCTTATTTTCATGAATCCGCGATGTTTTTAAAAATTTATATCTTGGAAACTATTTATCGTATCGAGTTTCTTCTTCGATTATTTCCATTTAGAAGGATTGCCCTACTATAATAATTCTTTTGTTTATTATTTAGTTAATTTGCTGTATTTACTTAATAACATTTA